TCACAGAGGCATTCAAAGCTCTAAGCCTCAACCCCTCCTCCATCCAGACCTTGAAGACAGAACTTTCAGAGATGGCTGCCCAATTCTCTGCCGACTTCATCTCTGCGGGCTACACGGATTACTCCTAAAGACGAAATCAAGCAGATTTTTTCCACTGCGGTAACATACGGTATTGATACCAAGTCCTCAAGGGCCAACATCAATCACCTTGCTACCCGCAGAGAGATTGATGCCATGGTTGAAGCTTTGGGTAATCTCGTGTGCAAGCATACAGACCGTCTTCTCAAAGAGGCTCGTGCCTCCAATACAGTGATCAGAGACTGCACATCACAACTCGTGAAAGAGGGTGACCTCTTCATAAGCGAGATCTACAGAAGCGTCTCCAAACTGAAGTGGTCAACAGAGATCGACATCAATCACGCCTCTGAGCTTGCAAATGAGCCAATTAAGAAGATGAAAAAGGTAGCCATCAAAATTTTGCAGAGGTTGGAGAAGGCTCCCCTGGATACACGCAAGGCAGAAGCCAAAAATAACCATGACGATCAAGAAGGTGATGATCGTGATCATCATGAGGGGGAGAAGAATGCTGAGAAGAAACTAGAGCCAAAGAAGACTCCTGCCAGAGGCGTGAAGATTGTGGACTCTACACTTGCCTTGTTCTCAAAAGGCAAGGAAAAGGCACTAGAGCCTAAAGGCAAAGGTAAAGGAAAAGTTGTAGAGTCACCACAGAAGGGGTCGTCGTCAAGTACAGAGACTCCACAGCCAATAAACGAGAAAGATTACAGAGACGACCCAACACTCATCGAAGCTTTAAAGGCATCCCTGGCAGAGGCTCAAGCCAAGAAGGGCAGAGGCCCCATCCCTCACAAAGAAGGAGAACGCCCTTCATCACAACTCCCACAAGTCCGAGAAACGTCCACGGGTACGTTTGATGCTCTGCAAGGAACTGTCAAACCCATCCTTGCAGAGGGGTCAACCCAGAGGCCAATTCTGGAGGAAGAAGAAGCCATGGTGCCAGAGTCCGCCATGGTAGGAAGGGTCTTTTAAATATTCTAATCAATGAGCAAGATTCCAATGCCAAAAGTCAGAACAGAGCCCGTTACTACTTTGGAAGAAATTCAAGTGTAGAGGTACTCTGCAGCAGACACAGAGCCTCCCTATGATCCAGAGCTCACAGGGATCCCTTCTGCCGCAGCCAAGTTCCAGTTCTCTAAGCTCACAAGGCCTCGTGAGCAAGTCTTCTCAGAGCACATGATCACCTCCCTAGAGACAATTTCTCCAAGGACAATGCTAAAGAAGAAGGTGCTCTATGCTCAGCATGTAGTAAGGAACCTGTATACATTCACAGACGCTGACCTCCATAACCTCTGTGTGTTTGATGTCATCTATATGCACAAAATTCTCAACATCTACATGGAGAGGAGGTCAAGCTACTCAATATCGCTCAGAAGACTGCTTGAGGTCATGCGCGCACAAGTAAGATATTATAGCCAGAAGGACTTCGAGCTCGCAGTCATGTTAGTCCAAAAAGATCTAAAGATCTCCCCTCCTTACAGCAGGCCTGGTTGGATACTTAGGTATCATCCAAACTCCATTATTCACAACCCTACTTTTGGGTTTGTGTATTTG